AGCCCTGTGCTGGCAGGGACCTCCAGAGCAGAGCCTGCTGAGAGCACAATGTGCCTGGCATGGGGAGCTCTGGAACCTGGGCTGGGCCCGAAATACTCCAGGAGTGTGATGGAATTAACCCCTGGGAGGAATCATTGACCGGGGACGCAGTTCTGCATCTGCTGGATTCACCGTGTGAAACCTGACCAAGTGCTCCCGTGGTTTTGCCCCATCAGATGTCATGCTTTTGCCCCACCAGATGAGATGGGACCTCCACCAGATGTGATGGTTTTGCCCCACCAGATGTGATGGTTTTGCCTCACCAGTGCCCAGCACCCCTGCTGCAGCACAGGAGATGCCACACAACCCACCCAAAGGAGGAGGAGCTGCCGGGTGACTGCCGGGCTGCAGCGTGTCATGAAATAAATTCACTGTGAGTGTTTACACAACTGAGCTTGACTCCCAGGCAGTTTATGTATTTTCCTTTGGGAAACACAGGAAAAGCTCACCATCCATGCAGTTGGTATTGACATATGTACCACGAAACTTTTGTAAGTTGGCACTGTCAGATCTGTAAGTCCAGCATATTGGCCAGGGCTGCCTTGGCAGCAAAGCCATATGCTGCTCTGTATGGAGAAGGCTTCAGCCTAAAGATGCTGAAGCATCCTTGCAGAATGTAAGCTCAAGCTGATGAGGATTTTCAAATAAATAAATAAATAAATAAATAAATAAATAAAGCAATAAATAGAGAGGCTCGAAGGCAACCGTTGGGCAGAGGATGTTCCCACACAAGCAAAGGCTTTTCCTCTGTAAGATCAGTGATGAATTGACTATTAGCACGCAGGCATTTTATCTCCCAGGCACACAGAGCCTGAGAAGATGCTAACAGGCTGCTTGATTTAAGGGGCTTTTTTGAATGTGAGACGTAAATCTCAGCACAAGAATGCACACAGTATTGAACTGTGTCCAGAGAGCAGGGAGAGAGCCTGCAGCTCCCTGTTCTTAATGAACTGCCACAAAAACCTGGGATGGACGGGAGGCCAATGGCACTTCATTTTACTGAGCTTTTCATTGGAGGGGGAGAAGGGGGGGAAAAAAAGCCCTGAGAAGGAATCAGGCATTATGAACAACAACAGCACCAAAACCTCAAAGCACAAAGCAGCCCTTCTGTAGGCATTTGAATGGAGAGGGGGAGCAGAAAGGAATGGTGGTTTAGTGAAAGAAATTGCTCAGGTGCTTGGAAATGCTTGTTTTTCAACTGTGTGTCAGTGGGGATTTACAGGCTGACACTCAGCTGATGTAAATCAGTGTTGCCCCTTCACTGCAGCTGATTTATGGCACCTGAAGACCTGGCCCCATATTTTCTTTTGTGGGGATGTTTGCCAAAGGCCAATTTTTTCACCACTATTTTTTTTGCTTGTAAATGAAACTAGGGGCTGAAAACAACAAACCATGCTGTCTCAGTCCCTGAGATGGATTGTTCTGTGAAAAAATCCCTTTGCTGGGGGGCAAAGCTGTGGCCTTTTGGGCCAACCTTGCTATTCCAGGTGAAGGAGCTGTTCACCCAGAGAGGAATTTGCTCCCAAGGGTTTGAATTTGGGGTCTTCTGTGTTAGGAAATGCAGCAGCATGAAGCATCCATGGATCAGTGTGACTTGGACATCCAAAGAAATGTGAAATGTAGGATCACAACAGGTGGTTTAATGAATTTTCTTTGGCATTAGGCTGCCTGGTTATGCGGGAACATAACCAGGTGTAAGAGACAAGGCTCTTACACCAAGGACTGGTTTGGATCACAAGCAATTCTTACCTTTACATCGACTTCTTAGGACTCAAGAAAATGCCTGCAAGTAAATGACTACAAAGTCACCTCAGTCGGAAAACCAAATATGCTTCTTTTTTGACCAGAGGGGAGAAATTAATGAACAGAAAGATCTGATGCCTTGGAGGCTGGGAAAAGATGGGGCCTGCAGGAAAACAACCTGCATCCTCAGCTTTTAGAGCTGTTTCTGAAAGGGTAAATCACAGAAGAACCACCCACAAAAAAAAAAAAATAAAAAATCCAAGTGATTAAAGAAACTGCATGCAAAATCCCACCACGAAACATATAAATAAAAGCAGAAAAGCTATGTTTTGCCTGCAATTGTTCATTTTCCTCACCTCACAGCCCAAGGCACTGAGACACAAACCCAAGGGCTTCCTCCAAACACCAAAGGCAGGTGGGGAGTGCCCCTCTCCTCCCTTTCCACCCCAGAGCTCAAACATCCACATGCTGAAACCCAGGAGCAGTGAAGCTGAAGTCAGAAGAAAGGAAGAAGCTGCCTGTAAGGTCTAGGGGAAAAAAAAAAAAGATTATGAGCAATTACACATTTACAATGGCAGTGGAAGAAGCTAATATATCTCATGCTGAAGTGGGCAGCAGGAGAGTTGTGCAAGATGAGATAAGCAGCAAAAATGTACGTTTCTTAGTTAAACTAAAAGCTTGGAGGGTACAATAAAACACTGCAGTTCCACCCGGGTTTTAATGAATGGATTTTCCCCTCTTGCACACTGCCATACATTTGATATAGTTATTTATCCTATATATTTCTGGAGGCATATTTCCCAGGAGACCTTGTTTATCTGGCTCATAAGCACATGATGGATGTGTGGCGCTTTGGATAAATGGTATCACAATCAGATATTTTTATGGATATAGGCAAACTGGGTTATTAACAAAGGAAGGGCAGAGAGGAACCAGCACGCAGAAGAAAATAGGGAATGATTGATGACAATACACCTGAGGTTGCAAGGTGTAGGCTCCAGATAACCAGCTAACAGCAGAGGAGATAAGGGCAGTGCTTGAGACAGAGCTGTTTCCTACCTCAGGGTCAATGTCACATCAGCTGCCCCAATGTCCCTCTGAGCCTGGCAGTTTGAGCAGGCAAAATTCCCTGGCAGGAGCAGCTCAAAAATTGCTGCCTTCCCTTTTTATAAATTGGAATGCACAGGCAGATACAAAACTCTTAATCCCACCAGAAAAACCTGAAACAAAAGAAATTCCATGTTCTGGTGAGTTTGGGGAGGGACTGGCATTGGTGGTGCTGCCCTATCGTGTCCACCACAGTGGGACCTGTGGTGCTGCACCACAAATAAATAACAATATCAGTTTATAATGGTAATAATTACTGTATTCAACTCTACTGTATTCAACTCAAATCTCTTTTTGATTTACAGAAACAGGAGGAATTAAAATGGGATATAAAAGGAAGATAAATATTGCCGGCCGGGGGCTCTGTACAAATCACAAACAGGACAGGACTGCTGTGGAACATGCCTTGAGCTGTTTTATTTTTCAGCATCAGTCTCATTACATGGGTATGACAATGGGAAGATGCCAGCAGCTCACATCACAGGCAGCAAACCAAGAACTTAATGTTACAACTCACTTTATAAGTTTTGTGACCAATCACACAAAGCAAAAGCACATTGGCAGTAGTTCTATCCAATCACCATTAGCACACGTACCTTTGGTTAAAACAATGCTTGCTTATTTTGAATACAATACTTGTAACCCTTAAAACACAACGCACAGAGCTCCATTATTAAGCCTTAACCTTCCTAATATCTTGCTAGATAAACTTTTCTGTAGCTTAGAGAGTTATTCTAGACAAGCGTTAATACACAGACCTTTGTTCTATTTGCCCTTGCTTTTCCACAGTTTAAATAATTTTTCTGCTGACCAATCTCATGGCTGCTGCTTAGCTCTAATCACAGTTCTACTGTCTGAGGCCTGCCTTTTGCAGCTTTCCCAAAACCCTCTGATTTTGTAGATTCCCACAGATAAATCTGCAGGCATGATTTGACCTGAAATCTGGCAGCTCTTCAGCACCAGGTAAAACCAGGAGTTTGGAATCTGGGGACTGCTGATACCTCTGCATGGCCTTTCTGGGTAGCTTCCAACAAAACAGCTCAGTGTGGCAGAGAACCTGGGCAGGAACAGCTACATCCATCCACAAAAGTGGGAAGAGCAGCATGATAAAGCAATTTAGCAATGCTGAGTTTGCAAAGCCCCAGCTGCAGCCTGGATGATGTTCCAGCTTCACAGGTGAAGTCTCTGTGTGATGTGACACCACAGGCAGCACATGAATCCAGGCTGGAAAGCACTCCAGCTTCCCACTGCTGAAGGAGATGTTAGAGTGGTGAGATTCCAGCTGTTTTTGTGCTGGGAAAGCTGGATGAGGCCATCACAACTCACCTGAAATAGCTTCCTGGGAGTTCCCAAAGCCAGGATAACCCAGCAGCAATGCCTTCAAGCAGGGAGGTACAAATAAATAACAGCCTCTCCATGTTTATCCTCTTCTTTTCCTCATGCAAACTTGTGAAAACACAACATGGGATGCAGGAGAGCCCAGTGAGAGGAGAATCTTCAGCAGAGGAATGAGCTGGAGCACTGCTGAACACGTGCCCTCACACCAGGGTTATTAATCTGAACTTACACAGGGAGGGAGAGTTAGGAACACCAGTAAAAGATGGTACCAAAATTTAATGCCAACCAAAATGAAACAATAAAAGCTTCAGCATAGTATTTTTTATTGCCCTCCAGGTTATAATAAATCATTAGTTAGGTGAATCAAAGCACAGAATCACAAGGACAAGATAAAGTTATGTCCTTTATGAGAGGTTTCAAAGCCTACAGGCTGAATATTCAGCAGCTGCTGAACTCACACTTCAGTCAGACTATCCTGATGATCTTGATGATTGTCAAACCTCTTCTCTCTTCCTCAAAAAAAAAACAAAAAAAAACCCCCAAAAAAAGCAAAAACTCAAATATACAAACTCAGGTACTGTCACCACTTCAAAAAAATCTGTGTTTTTCTGGTTTGGGAACAACAGTCCCAAGTCAGGTCACTGCACTTGGCTGTCCTTGCCCCAGCAGTGAAGAGAGGCACCACTGCTGTGTGTTTAACCAGCTGGATGATCAGGAAAGGTGGTTAAATTTACAAAAGCCACTTGACTCATCTGAGAAATGTCCTTAATCAGATTGCAGCGGTGATTCTCCAGAAGGGCAGGCAATGACACTGCAGTTTGTGTCCTCAGAGGTGAACCATGCTCAGGGTCCTCCTCTCCAGAGCTACTACTGCAAAAAAACCTGCAAAAACCCTTCAAAAAACCTGGAGGAATACCCTCCTTCACACAAGCACTGACCCCTTTGACCATGACCCAAAATAGAATCTCTTGGCAAATTTCCACCACACAAAAGATATTGCAGCTACAGAGTGGAAAAGGGAAATGTTTTGGGTTGGCAGCTAAATGATGAAGGCCGTAATGAGCACAGAGCCCTCTTGTTTTACATATGCAATGTGCTCTGCCTTTCTTCAAGCTGTCACAGGAGCCCTGTGGATAAGTGTGGAGGCGGCATGAGGGCTACAACTAAATGCATGTTCCATTGTTCAGGTGTCAGGGAGCCTGAGCTGCTCGCACAGGAATTGCATTCAGACAACGTCAGTCTGAAAGGAAGGGAAGGGATGATGCCAGCCCACCAGCACCAGCCCTGCTAAAAACCCCTCACAAGAAGAGTTTGACCTTGCAGATGTGTTAGAAGACTCACAGCACTCATGAGCAACTTTGCACTGGTGGAATTGCCTTTTGGAGCAAAGCAGTGGCTGGTCATTTCACAGCAGGCCCAACCAAATGCCTTCACAAAAATCATTTACCACCAATAAACCTTCAGGAGGCAAGTCCCTAGAAGGATGCAGGCTGATGAAATGGTGCCCAGTGCTGTAAAGCTCCTCTTTTGTTACACCTGGACTGTGATATGTCGCAGCCATATTTTATGGAAAATCCTTTCCTTAGCATTTTTCCTCCTGAGAAGCTGAGAGGCCTCAGGAACAAAATGTAAACATTGATTATCTGCTGCTGTGGAATGCAACAGGTGCATCTGTGATTGGTCTCATGTGGTTGTTTCTAATTAATGGCCAATCACAGTCAGCTGGCTCGGACACAGAGCCCGAGCCACAAACCTTTGTTATTCATACCTTTCTATTCTTAGCTAGCCTTCTGATGAAATCCATTCTTCTATTCTTTTAGTATAGTTTTAATGTAATATATATAATAAAATAATAAATCAAGCCTTCTGAAACATGGAGTCAGATCCTCATCTCTTCCCTCATCCAAGAACCCCTGTGAACACTGTCACAGCGATGCACAGCCCCAGAGATGGTAAAAAAAGGCAAACCAGTTTGTGTCTTTTCACAGTGAGCTCTCTCTGAGTCAGATATCCCACCCTGGGTGGACCCAGCAGCAGCTGGAACACTGGATTTCATGGGATCAGACTTGTTAACCACAGCTTGTCTGGGGCAAGCACAGCTACTAAGGGCAGAAGACCTCAGGGGATGTTCAGACAGCTTTTTCAAAATGTTCCATTTGTCCCAGAGAAGCTGTGGCTGCCCCTGGATCCCTGGAAGTGTCCAGGGCCAGGCTGGACAAAGCTTTGAGCACCCTGGGATAGTAGAAGGTGTCCCTGCCATGGTAGGGGTGGGAACAGAACAATAAATTGTGAGGGCAGGGTAGTGAGGCACAGTGGCTCTAAATGTCACATTAGATGCTGCTGTGCTCATTGAGATTTAGGCTTTAATGTGCTGGATTTTGCTGCACACGACACAGGAGCTGTGCATCAGTGCACACCCTGCTGCACGTGAGATCAAAGTGTCTCCTCTTATCTCACAGGAACCTTCATCAACAAGACAGTACAATTTGAAATCATGCAGCTACCAAATG